CACAATATTATTAATACTCCAGAAGAATATTATTTACTCCCGAAAAGCATAAATAATAATTTTCTATATTCAAAAAAAAAAATATTGACATATTGTTCATAAAAAGCATAAATTACAATTTTTAATATTTCAGATAAAGATATTGATTTATTACTTTTAAAAAAGCAATAGTAAGATATAGTACTCCTCCACAAATATTAATATTCGTTTTGAAAACATACTCGTGAAGAGTTGATTCTTTTAAACAATAATTTTTTGATCCTCCTAAAGTAGAATAATGTTGTTAATATTCTAAAACAAATATTATTGCTCCTGAAGTAGAATACTATTATCGACGGATATTTTAGTTAGATTTTACTTGCCCTCGAATAACATAATTAAATACGATCTAACATAAATTATGTTTTTTTTTTTTTTTTTACTCTTGAAGATTAAATTCTTATATGATTTATTATTTCAAATAATATTATGTTATTGCTCTTAAAGAGCATGACACTACGTTTCAATATTTCAGAAGAATATTAATATTACTCTTTAAGAAGCGATAATAAAATACAAAGCTCTCTTGAAATGACACATATTTTGAAGAATATATTATGTGTAATTTATGAATTTGTATTTATTCCTGAAGGAAAACATACGACTTATGTCATGTGGACATTGATCATTATATAATTATATAATGTTTAATCATATTTTTCGAAATTAAATCATCAAATTATATCTTATACTAAATCAAAGGTTTAATTTAATTGGCATGACCAGTTGAACCATTACTGGATCAACAATAATGCAAAATTAAAAATTCAAATGGGTATTCAATAAAGAATCATAAGATTCTTCAACTCAATTCTATATGATATTTGTTCTCTTTCATGAAAATTTTTCATTAACCATCACTATTTAAAATAAGAAATGATTCATTTCTTATATTTCTAAAAATTAATTAAGATGATAAATGAGGTCCCATCATCCTCCACGTTGATCATCAAAATAGTATTTGTATCTAATATATTTGATATATATACTAGATGATTGCATGGTGTTCGCAACCTAAAGCTTGCAAAATTACTATTCAAATTTTAAATTATAAGCATAATTTTTAGATTATATAATCAAGACTATAACTTGTTAATGTTAATGATTTATTGCATGGTGTTCGCAACCTAAAGCTTGCAAAATTACTATTCAAATTTTAAATTATAAGCATAACTTTTAGATCATATAATCAAGACTATAACTTGTTAATGTTAATGATTCTAAATCTCAACATTTTAAAAATGTTAGTTGGGATGTTAATAAATTGTGTAAAACACTTATTTGTTAAAGTCCTCCAAATAATTGAGAACAAAGCACTTCCCATTTTTGTTTAGTGACACTATTACGTATCACGACAACATCATAGTTTTTTATATTATAATTGGCTTATGGTAAGAGCCTAATTTTTCTATCTATTTATTTTGATAATGCAGTATATATAAAATTGAACCACCACAATACACTGAGATGAAAAGTAAAGAATGTTGAGAATAAATGCGTAGTTTGAATCCTTACACCAAATGAGCGATATTTTATAACATTGAAAAAATGATTGTCAATTTGATTGAAAAGTTCTCTCAACATTAGGAGAGGAATTAAGAAATTGGAAATAATGTACAAATGCTTCTTTTCCTAAATCCTTGTAAAAGACCACTCAAACTAGAAGTTCGAAATATGATTTATTTAGAGGCATTTATTGATCAAAGAGATAAACAATATCTCATGCAACAATTTTAAGTGCTCCAATTGAATTGATATCCTAGGAGGACAATTTCATAGCATTGTATTTGATATATTTATAGAATCTCTAAAACGTGATGATATTCGTTTATAATACCAAAAAATAAAAATAAAAAAAAAAAATAAATCTCCAAATGAAAATGGAGCAATTCATGAAGAAAGTCCCATTAAAGAGACATATGCTTTTGATAAGTATTTAGACATAACAAATTATAAAATTATAGAAGATGGTCAGGCATTTGACATGTTGAAAATTAAGATATCTCAATAAGTTATGTCATAATGGAAAAGAAAATAATATCAAACAAGAAAAGAAAAAGTTGTCGACAACCATTTTACACATGATGTACGGCATCATATAACAAGGAATCAAAATAAATTACTCAAAATATATCGATCGAAGTGATTGACCAAATAGAAGAGATATCATCTTAAATTAAATTTATTAGCGAACTTGAGATTTCTAGATCTACAATCTGAACACATAAAGGTGTATGTTTATGCGGAATGAAAATGAAAAAAGTAAAGTCGTAATACGAAATGTACAACTTTTTTACATAATAAATGTCGCAAAGAATTATATAAATAAATAAATTATCATATAGTGAATGTAATCACAAGTCTCTATTTCATTAGATTGACAATGCATGAAATTTGATATGCACATAATAAATGTGATTATAGTCAACTTATCTTACATATAAATTTAATACTATTCTTGAAAGATTTAATATGCTTGAAGCATAATTCAAGTCACATTATCATGAGAGGAAATAAATATGCATTTTATTCTTTTTTCCTTGACCAAGGTTTTTAATGAGACAACCTATGTAGTGTATTGAAAAGAACAATGTACTCATTTTTCCTTCTTTAGGATATTTTCCACGGTTTTCCTAATAAAGTTTTAATGAGGCATATTCTTTGTGCAATGATGTCCTTAACCTATAAAGTGTTTACCCTCAAAATATATATTTTTAGATGTATGAGACTCTCGAAGAGATCAACAAGAGCTAGTTTTCAAATCATCATGTTACTACAGTTATTAAAGGATAATAAATATCAAGTATGAAAACGGTGTTATCTGAAAACTATGCAAGACAACATGAGACACATTTCACCAGAAATTGTAGTATTGAAGGCATTGATAGACAAGATATGAATAGCTTGATACAAAAATTGAAATCAGAGGGTAGCTGTACTTTTTTCCTTCGATTAAGTTTAGTCCTATCGATTTTTTTTTGCTAAACAAGGTTTTGATGAGAGAGTTATCATATAAATAATTATCAGAGGAAGAGTGTTGATACACAGACTTATCTTGTCTATAAGATATATTTCATTCCAATTGTAACTCTTATTTTGGACTTTATAAAATATAGGGCATTAATTCTTCATAATACATAATTGAGTTTTGAATCTCTATTTTTTCTCTTATTTTCTTTCTTTCCTTTAGTTTTATAAAGAAAAATATATAGTTTTAGTACTTGTACATGACTTCTTTGACCACATATGCTGGTACAATTTATAAATAAAGAAATAATGGACTACTCTTTAAACATAAGATATTCTATATTTTAAACAATCAATCCCTAAAGTTATGCTCCAAGAGACTCTTTAAATTAATATTTTTAATTTAAAAAGTCTTTATAATTAAATATAAAATTTCAAATGAGGAAAAAAGAATATAATAATTTGAAGGGAAGCTAGAAAAAATAAAAGATGAGAAAAACAATAAATATTTTTTGAGAATAGTAAACTTAATTGTTAAATATAAAAACCCTATTGAAATACTTAAAATATTTTTACTCTTTAAATTTATAGATGATCTCTAAATTGTAGAGTATGCTTTTTAAAAATAGTGATTCTTTTGAAGATGCACTTACATGTTAATTACAACAAATAGATAAAGGGAAATAGAATAGACAACACATTACCCATACCAACACACACGCCCTTAATGAGATGGAGAATTAGACACACCTTGCTAGTTGAGTGTATACATAATTTCTAAATACATGTGCACATCGATTAAGTTGGAGCTAGCTATTCAAGAATTGCATACGTAAACAATATTTAACAAATATACATAATTCCTTAATACTGTGAAAGGAATTATGCACGCTTGACAAATGTGAATTTGTTAAATGAGTTTCATTTCTTCCTTAGAACTACGTAATTGAAAGAAGAAAGGGACATTTTATCAATTTGAGTATAGTTGGGCAATGATTTATCACTCTATAGTTAAATTTACTGAACTAGAAGCATTGCATAGCAAGGCTATGGAGTCAATTGAATCTATTCCCCATGTCTGGTCTTCGAGTGGCGCAACCTGCTGGGGTGGTTGGCAAGGTTGAGGAGGAATTTGTAGAGTCTCAACTTCACTTTCAAGCATTTCCATTATTTACTCATTGATGGACGATCCATCGGATTCATTTGTATGCACCATAATGCAACTATTGTCATCTTCCTAGTAATCTTCCTTTCTTCACAGCCTAATTCTTCAGCATCTCCAATTTCAAGATCCTTACTCTTGTTGAAATGATCATATATCCAGTCGGGGAAGTATTGGCTAGAAAGTTCCATGTTTTGTATCAAGTCTTTATTTAGACTTAACATTTCCATCAACAACATTCCGAAGCTATAAGCATCTGCCTTGTACGAGACAGCCCCAATGCCTCTATTGATCAATTCGGGAGCTACATAACCAATTGTACCTCGTGCAAGAGTAATAGTTACAATACTAGTTTCAGTCGAGTAAGATTTCGCTAGCCCGAAATCAGAAGTTTTTGGAGTGAAGTTATCATTGAGAAGTATGTCGTGTGGCTTAATATCGAAATGCAGTCGATGCAAATTAGTCTCTTGCTCGCATCCATTCTCCATCACACTGTCGGAAAAAATATCGGATGCAGTGATATAGAAATGTTTGGTACATGATCCACTTTTCTGACAAGAGAGATACTTCTCAAGTGAACCATTAGGCATGAAGTCATATACAAGAGCACAATTGGACATATCTGCACAATAACCACAAGTCGAACTATATTGACATGATGAATTCTTCCGGTAGTGGTAACTTCATTGATGAAATCTTGTCTATTTGATTTATTTTTGCCTAGTATTTTCACTACTATATCCCTTCCACTTCGAAGCTTTCCTTTGTAAATTGAACCATAACCTCCTTCACCCAATTTTTCCCGAAAACCTTTGGTCATCTTCTTTATGTCTGAATAAGAGTAACTGATGGGTATTAGGTTATTCTAATTGCGCAGAAAATTTTCTGTTTCATTAAACATTGATAAATGTCTTCTTCTCAGTTTATAGACAAATAATCCGAACATGAATGGAATTCCTATTAAGATCCTCAATGCAAGGTTGATCACTGTTCATTCAGAAATGAGAAGACTAGTTAGAAAATTATTTAGCAAAGACGTAATACTTCCAGGAATTCTTTCTTTACATTTATATGTTGGAAAAATGTGTCAGGGTTCTTCAAGTTGGCTTCAAGTGGGCTGACTTGACCCATAGCCTTTGAAACCAGATAAGAAGGGATAATTTGATTTTAAATTCAAACTTCAACTTCTATAGACCATGCTCTAATTTCCTTACTTCTTATATGCGTGCAGAAGAAAAGTGACTGAAGTTAGGGGGAAAATGAGGCAGAAATACATTCATGCATGATACTGCAACTGTAATAGAAATGGTTAGAATATAATATTTTTGTTTATAAAGTTGGCACTTGAATTGTGGAAATGAAACTTGCTCTATGGTAATAAAAATGGTCAGAATATAATATGTTGAACTGATTCGTGCATGCAATCTGAAAGTAACATGACATCTTTAAGATCTATCATGGCATTGCCCAAGTTCTTAAAAACAAAATATTTCTGGCTGCAATGTGCATAAAATTTTTCAAATATTGCAAGACAATTTCTTATAAACATTTTTGTAGTTTGAGGATTGTAATACTGTAACCTAAATCGAGATAAAGAAAAGAGAATGTGAAAGGATCTTTCCCATAAATTATGTTGCTAATCCGCTGACCAATACTGTAGTCTGCAATGCCTACAACCAAACATCGTCAGAAAAGAGTTTAAAGAAACTTTTCGAATGTAAGGACGTTGAAGTCGAATTGCATTTAACTACGGAAGTAGTGGATGATTGTAAATTGTTGCAAGACCGATACATATGTTAATTATATATGGTGAGATGTTATGACCTCTACACATTAATAAATCATCAGAAAAAGGAATATTGGATAACGAGTACAAGTGTCAACTTAAATCACCTTGCTGCCCAAGACAGTCTAGTTTCTTTTAGAAATAGGCATCACTAATTTTATCATATACATTTATAAGTATAGTAACCTTTAAATCTTACCGGAGCAGAAGCGTGGAGACCCCTTCTCATAACAAATAGGGCAATATAGTCTCCTTTTGCAATAGCTAATCGTCACAGTGAACCATGAAAGCTCAAATCCATATAGCAGAGCGCTATGGATGTCTGAGAGCAAAAGATTATTGACATCCTTAAATGGCCACGATGTCATCACTATGAGATCTAAACTGCACATCTCTCTTACATCTGATGCATTCAAATTGCCAACCTTAATATACGTGTGTCTTCTGTGTGAAGCATTTGAATCAAAGACCCTGTTGCCACAATGAACAGTTTCCAAAAAGAAAGCAGAATTTATGGGATATGGGCAGCTCATTAAAGTAATAGGCCCGCTTATTTTATGCAAGACACGTGATTTAGATGAGTTGTAGGTGTAGACACTATAAGGATAATTTTCAGAGAGGTTGTATCGAAACATAGAATACTGAGGAAAGGAGCAAGTGTCATTTTCTAAAGCAGCATCAACAAGATGAATAGTAAAATTTTGGTAATCGATGGCTTGCACATGGTACTTTTGAGAGTTTAGATAAAGTGAGGTTGTATTGTTTTCACAAACTAGTTCATAGCTGGAATCACCACAGCTTTCTGGATTCCCTTTTAACCGGAAGGGATAGCTGATATTAAGAATTGTGAGAAGAGAAGCTGAGAAGAAGCAGCGCCTAGGCGCCATGTCCAGGCGCCTAGGCGCCCAACTGGTTTCTGCCGATTGTGAACCAGGCAGAATGTTGGCGCCTAGAGTGGCGCCTAGGCGCCCCGGTACATATATATATTTCCGATTTTTTGCCTCTTCATTATGTTATAACCCTTGCACCCGATTTTGAGAGAGCAAAAGGGAGAAAGCTTGGATTGAATTTTACAAGATTGAGGTTGTTCATCTTAGGTATAAATTCAAAGTTATTTTCTTTCTTGGGGATTAACTTGAGGCTTGTTCAAGTAATCCAAATACATTGTTCTTCATTTATTCCATTGAAATCATTTCTTCCTCATTTTCTTATTCTTGAAGTGGTTTGGAATTTTTCACATTGTCAAGCTTTGTTTGATTTTGGGCTATCTTTGGGAGGTGTTTTCCCAACAATTTGGTATCAGAGCTTCTTCTTAAATCAAGGTGGTTAAGTTTCGATTTTTGGTGAGTTGCTTGAACTTTGTTGTGCACACAAGGTGTTTGGGAAAATTTTCAAGTGAACTTTGGTGGTTTATTTTCGGTAAACAAGTGGATAAATCATGTCTACTAGAGGAATGGTGAAGATTGGGAAGTATGAGATAGAGAAATTCAATGGGAAGAATGATTTTTCATATTGGAAAATGCAAATGAAAAATTTGTTGATTTCTCAAAAGTTGCACAAGGCATTAGCGGAAAAGGAGAAGAAGCACGTTGATATGTCGGACGAGGATTGGGAAGAGCTAGATCTTGAGGCACGAGCGTCTATCATTCTTTGCCTTGAAAGAGATGTTGCTTTCTTGGTTGATAGTGAGGTAACGACGGCGGAGGTGTGGACAAAGTTGGAGGCGAATTTCATGACGAAGACTCTAACAAATCGGATCTATTTGAAGTCCAAATTGTATACTTACAAGATGGATGAAGGTACACCAATCCGGAGTACGTCAACAAGTTTGATAGGATCATATCGGACTTGAAGGACATTGATGTCGAAGTAGATGATGAGGATCAAGCACTTCTACTACTTCTTTCATTGCCGAAGTCTTACGAGAACCTAGTACAAACATTGATGCTTGTGGGTGATAAACTTGTGATGGAGGACATTAGAACATCACTTCTAGCGGATGATCTTTGAAAGATTGCAACTAGTTGCATGTCTACCATTGGTAACAAGGAGCAAGCTCAAGGATTGTTTGTAAGGGGTAGAAGCAATGTGCGACCAAAGGGCAAGGGAGAAAAATCTAGATCGAGTTCTAGACCTCTTGCGGAAAGGTCTTGTTTCAAATGCGGCGAGCTTAGGCATTTCAAGGTGAATTGTCTTAACAAAAAGGGTTGGAAGAAGAACAATAAGAACAACAACAACGGGAAGGTGCAAGTCAAGCAAGAGGTAAGCTATGCCTCGGAAGGAGGGGAAAGCGATGAGTGCTACACCATCTCTTGTGATGAAGAAACCTCCGGTAAGTGGATTCTTGACTCTGGATGCTCTTACCATATGTGTCTAAATAGGAAGTGGTTTACTACCTATAGAAGCACTGATGGTAGAACCGTGTTGATGGGTAATAACCATTCCTGTAAAACGGTGGGGCTCGGTTCAATTAGAATCAAGATGCATGATGGAGTGGTTAGAACATTGATGGATGTTAGACATGGTCCTCATTTGCGAAAGAACCTTATCTCTGTTGGTGCTTTAGACTCCGGTGGTTGCAAGATTGTAACATGGAATGGAGTAAAGAAGGTTGTTCGTGGTTCTTTGATTGTGATGAAGGGTATTCGTGAAGGCAATCTCTATGCTCTTCAGGGTACTACAGTTACTGAAGATGTAGCAGTTGGAACAAGTGGAAGTGGTGGAGACCCATGTGAGTGCATTCGGCTATGGCATAGGAGGCTTGGGCATATTTCTGAAAAGGGGCTAAATTTGCTAGTCAAGAAAGGTTTGCCAAAGAATTTGAAGAAGCCTTGCATGGATTTTTGCGAGCATTGCATGTACGGTAAAGCACACTGAGTTCAGTTCCAGCCAAGCAAACATAGAAGTAGAGGCATTCTAGACTATGTGCACACAGATGTATGGGGTCCAGCTTCTGTCACTTCCAAAGGCGGTTCCAGGTATTTTGTTACATTTGTTGATGATTATTCTAGATATGCTTGGATTTATTTTTTGAAGCATAAGAATGAGGTATTCGACACTTTCAAGAAGTGGAAAGCATTGGTTGAAAAGAGAACAGGAAAGAAATTGAAGACACTGCGATCTGATAACGTTACTGAGAATACAGATGGTGCTTTCAAGGAGTTTTGTGGTAAGGAAGGCATTGTGAGACACTGGACAGTTAGAAATACACCGCAACAGAATGGGGTCGCGGAAAGACTGAATCGCACATTTCGAGAGAAATCGATGTGTATGCGATCCTATTCTGGTTTGGGCAGAGAATGGTGGGCAGAGTCGGTTGCAAATACTTGCTACATAGTGAACCGGTCTCCACATTCAAGGTTAGATGGAGATGTACCTTACAGGGTATTGACGGGAGAACATGCAGATTATGAGAAACTCAGAATATTCGAATGCACAGCCTACTATCATGTCAACGAGGGAAAGCTTGATGCGAGGGCCAAAAAGGCTATATTCTTGGGGTATGCGACAGGTGTTAAAGGCTATCACCTTTGGTGTGTAGAGGATTCTAAGTTCATAATCAGCAGAGATGTTACTTTTGATGAGAACTCCATGATAGCTTCGTTGAAAGCTACAGTGCCCGGTGGTTATGATGTTGAGACTACAATGCCTCAAGTTGTTGACATAGAACCTAGAGATCAACCTGATTCTAGGCATGTTCAAGAGGAGCATCATACAGACACTCAAGATGAGAGTGATGATGGGCTTGAACAAGAGGCGGTTCAACAAGAGAATGTACAGGCACAGCAACAACAGCAGCTTACAGATAACTTGGCTTCCTCTAGGCCACGCCGTACTTACAAGCAAGTTCTAAAGTTGGGGTCAAACGAGCCTTTGAGACACTATGGGCAAACAAATTTGGTTGAGTATGCACTCTCGGTGGAGGATGATGACCCAGCAGACATGTTAACCAAAGTGGTAACGGGTAGCAAGTTTCAGCATTGCTTGGACTTGCTTCACATTAGTCCGTGTTGATATGCCCGAGTGGGCATGGCCCTTCGGGGTGGGGTTGAAATGAGGTGGAGAGTATATGAAGGTGGAGGTGAACTACGGAGGCTTGATCTCGAGTTTTGGGTACGTAGGCAATCATGGTTTGAATGGTGCAGCCGAGTTTTGGTGCTTGCTACTTCTTCTTGTGTTCGTCCAAAATTTGAGGTCTATCAAATGATGTACGAGATGAAGAATTGTGAGAAGAGAAGCTGAGAAGAAGCAGCGCATAGGCGTTGGAGTGGGCGCCTAGGCGCCACTCAAGTGGCGCCTAGACACCTCGATTGTGAACTAGGCAGAATGTTGGCGCCTAGGCGCCATATATATATTTTCGATTTTTTGCCTCTTCATTATGTTATAACCCTTGCTCCCGAATTTTGAGAGAGCAAAGGAAGAAAGCTTGGATTGAATTTTACAAGATTGAGGTTGTTCATCTTGGGTATATGTGAGAAGAGAAGCTGAGAAGAAGTAGGAAGAGAAGCAAGAAGAGAAGTTGAGAAGAGGTGCAGCACCTAGGCGCTGGAGTGGGCGCCTAGGGGCCATGTCCAGGTGCCTAGGCGCCCCGATTGCCAAATCTGGCAGTAAGTTGGCGCCTAGGTGCCCAGAGTGCTGGAGGAAATCAGAAACATGGCGCCTAGGCGCCACTCTTGTTGCGCCTAGGTGCCCCGATAGGTATATATATTGCCAATTTTTCCCTCTTTCAACAACACAACCCTTGCACCCGAAAATAAGAGAGGAAAAGAGAGAACTTGGAGAGAATTTTACAAGATTGAAGGTTGTTCATCTTGGGTATAAATTCAAAGTTATTTTCTTTCTTGGGGATTAACTTGAGGCTTGTTCAAGTAATCTAAATACATTGTTATTCATATATTCCATTGAAATCATTTCTTCCTCATTTTCTTGTTCTTGAAGTGGTTTGGAAATTTTCACATTGTCAACTTTGTTTGATCTTTGGGCTATCTTTGGGAGGTGTTTTCCCAACAATTTGGTATCAGAGCTTTTTCCAAAATCAAGGTGGTTAAGCTTTAATTTTGTGGTGAGTTGCTTGAACTTTGTTGTGCACAAGGTGTTTGTGAAAATTCCCAAGTGAACTTTGGTGATTTATTTTCGGTAAATAAGTGGATAAATCATGTCTACTAGAGAAATGGTGAAGATTGGGAAGTATGAGATAGAGAAATTCAATGGGAAGAATGATTTTTCATATTAGAGAATGCAAATGAAAAATTTGTTGATTTCTCAAAAGTTGCACAAGGCATTGCGAAAAAGGAGAAGAAGCACGTTGATATGTCGGACGAGGATTGGGAAGAGCTAGACTTGAGGCACGAGCGTCTATCATTCTTTGCCTTGAAAGAGATGTCGCTTTCTTGGTTGATAGTGAGGTAACGGCGGCGGAGGTGTGGACAAAGTTGGAGGCAAACTTCATGACGAAGACTCTAACAAATCGGATCTATTTGAA